GTATCATACATGCATACATATGTATACATATATATATATATATACACGCTTATATGTATGTATTTTTAATCTTTTTTGCATTGCATTAAATAATACAAAAATTAGAAAATAAAAGTCCAAAATCATATTTTTTAACCCGATCCAACATCCTTGATTTTCCAAGTATCATTGATAGTATCCGCTGAAAATATTGCCCCGTTTGGATGGCTAGGTATACTCACTTTGGAGGGAGTTCTATCATTTAAAATGCTTTGGAAGCTCAAATATTTTTTCAATCTATTAGAAACATTATAAAAAAATTTTATATAAGAAATTGAATATTTAAAACTTTATAAATTATTTTCCTTTCAACCAAACAGATACCTCCAACTCAACCTCACCCAACCTTTGTCACAGTAGTATAACAATAATAATACATGCTTCCATTCCTTAAAAGATTTAATTAAAATAATAAAATATTTATAAAATTTATTTAAGAATTAAAAATTTAAATTGTGATTCCTTTTCTCTGTTAGTGTGTGTGTGTGTAAACGTCTGTTCGTTGCAAAGAAATTAACAAGAAAAATGAAAAGCTTAAAAAAGTAAGAGCAAAAGCAGGACGTCACACAGGCGGGAATCTGGGCTGTTTGTCCGCCATGCTTCTTTTCATCCTTGAGCCTTTTTGATGCTTCGAAGATCTCTGGATTACAGCAAATTCTAAAATTTTGAATTCTTTTTTAAAAGATTGCAAAACTAAAAAGCCCAAAATTTTAATATTTTTTAAATTAAAAAAATTCTTAAAGAGTGATTAACTCACCAAAAAATACTTGTAAAATTTTTTCAACATCAAACATAAATAAAAAAAAATTCAATAGTAAAATACAATTAACCTCATAAAATATTATCGCAATAACACTTATTTTTAAAGTATATAATGTAATAATTTAACTCCTGAAATTTATAATCACAATTAAAAATAATTCTGAAATTAACATTTTCACTTATTTTACCATAATTTTCCTTTATGTATCTTGAAATAATTTTTTTATATTCATTACACTATTTTTAATGTCTCTAATGTTTAATTGTAATTTCCATATGAAAAAAAGTGAAAGTAGCAATTCTAGACCTGCAACCAAACTGGTTATAAAAATTCTTTGCACTTTTGGACTTTTGTAATTAGTGCGGCTAAAAGACTGAGTTTTAATTTAAATTTGATATGATTATTTAAGATTTTTGATCCATAAAAAATTTGATAGATATGATTTGATTATAAAAATTTATAATTCGAAATAAATGGAGTAAATATAAATTTTACCAAATTCGATCTATTAAATATTCGAATCTAAATATATATTTATATATATATTATATACAATATATATGATATATAATATGACATAATATTATATATATCACAATATGAAGACTTAGATTAATAAATTATTTTATTCCTAAAAATATAAAATAGAAACATATTTTTATTTTTTACAAAAATAAAAATAAAAAATATATATATTGATACATTAAATATAATTATTATATATCACTAGTAAGCCAATTTTATATATTTATAATAGATCAAATATAATTATATTATACTTTTAAATTTCAAAAAGAGAAATAATTAGTTGATACCATTGTGAGTATAAAACATTTATAACAAATTTTATATAGTTGATTTCGTTAAAATTAATTGATGAAATTAATTAATATTTTGAAAAGAAAAATAAGTGTGAATTAATATAAAGATAGTTGTAAGTAATCATATTTGTTGAATTTGATCAAATCAATGTTGTTATATTCGTATTAATTAATCCATTCTCATTCAATACTACGGATTTAGATTTTTATTTCAGATATCAAATTTATCCAGATTTGGATACGGTAATCCTAAGCATATATCTTATATGATTTCAAATTAAATTTTGATATAATATACTACTATCAAATTCGGATCTAGATCTACCATGATCTAGTCCGATTTCGACCATTAACATCCCTATTTATAATAATTCAACACAAATAAAGGCGTTGTATGTGAAGTCCACTCTAATAAAAACCCATTATTGATAGATTTGAATAAGTATTATGAAAAGATTAATTTTGTGAAAATTGTTTTCTTGAGTTATAATGAAAATTATTATTTTACAAATTAATTAAAAAATATATTTCTTAAATTATTATAAATTATTTTAGTTATAATGAAATTGTGATTTTATTGATAACATTTACTAAATTATAAAATAATGTAAATAGTGGGAATTAAGGAATGTTATGATTAATTAAATGAGTATATTAATTTTATTAATTATTTTTATTATGATTAAAAATTTCAGTAGTAAATTGTTATATTTTTTAATTTAAGAATTAGTGTTGGCACAACAATAATTTAGGATGTCAAAAGTATTTTACCTTGAATTTAAACATTTAAAAATTAAAAATTAAAATATTTAAATTATTAAACATATAAATCATTGTTACCCAGAAAGAAAAAAAAAAATAGTCCCGAGAAAATTCTCGGGGCTATCTGCCGCAGGATTCAACTTTGGCAGGAGAATCTCTGTTACCCTTTCATTTTGAGCGACTACTTTTCGGACAAGTGAAGAAAATAAACAAGTTTCTCTTCTGTTTTGCCTGAGTTGTTGTAAATTAAAAAATATATATATTAAGTTGTTGTAAATTAAAAAATATATATTTTAAGTAGAAGTGAGAAAAAATTAATTTTAATTAGAAGTGAGAGGTATTTGTAAAATGTATAAATTTTTTTTGAAATTAGTAAAATGGTATTTTAAAGATAAATTTTGCGAAATAATGATAAATAAACTTTTACAACTAAAATGATAATTTTACCTTTATAAATTTATTTTTTATTTAATTTTTTGTCAAATTTTTCTTTTATTATTTTGTTGCATTGTAGAGTTACCACACACAACGACTATTTGGCCTGCTGCACGCGGCCACTATGATGGCTACATGCAACGGTTGCCTGGGTGGTGACAAATGCTATTATCGACAATGGTCTGGTGGTGGAGGAAGAGAGAGAAAAGAAAACAGAGTTAAAGAGGCGAGTAATTTAGAAATTAAATAAAATATTTAAAAATAAAAATTTTTAAAATTATTTTAAAATTACTTTTATTTATTTACAATTATGAAATTATAAGTAGAAGTATCAAAATTTTAATTTTAAAAAAATAACTTTTTATTTTACCTTTTTTTTTAATTTTAAAAGATTAAATTTTAAATTAAAAGTAGCAAACTAAACACAAAGCGCATGTGCACTTCGAGAAGCGCACAGGCACTTCTTAGAAGCGCGCCCAAACACGACCTTACTTACCCCGTCCTTCATCTGGATTCTTATCTGGTTCAGAAATACATTACTGTTTGTCTGTTCTTTTCTTTTGTTTAACTAAAACGTTGTCTTTGAGTATTGGTTTTTTTTGTTGGACAATGTTCAGTAACACCAAATAAACACGCATATGAATTATTTGTCAGTAACTTAGTTGGATAAGATCATGATATAGATTATTATCGAATAAAATCTAGACATATTTATTTTGAGAATATGATAATTTTATTTAATATTTATTCATCTATTTAGATGAATAATTTTTATTATTTACAAATTAAATTATTAAAATATATCTATTTCTCACCATTATTCGTTACTAATAATAAAAAAATTGTTTTGATAATTTATTTTTTATTTAGTCTTTTAAAAAATGTACTAAATAAAATATAATAATTTAAAATATTATTTAAAATTTTTTTATTTATGTATAATCTTTATCCAATCTTATCTGTTTAACCTACTGAACCAACCTTGAAGGTGGATATTATATACTCACACAAAAAAATCAAAATGAAATTAAGAAAGAAATTTAGGGAACCAGATTCTTTACAACTTGCCTCAACTCATAAGTGTTTTAATTAGAAACCCAAAATTACAGTAATAGATTTTGAATCAAATACAGGACTTAAAAAACTTTGAAACCAAACATGTGAGAATAAATTTCTCAGATCTCATGTTTGGTTTCTCCCTAAACCTAGGATTAGGCTTGAAGGAACACAATTTTAAATAAGCCTTTATCCAGGCTTTCTCCATAACAGTTTCAAACAGGCCTTGGTGCCTAGGGAGGATCTTTAATTCAGGAAAAGCACAAACTCTTTCATGCTCTTTAGGAGTCTGGCTCTCTCCTCTAGACTCCTAAAAGGCTTAGCTAGGAAATTTTGGGTCTTTCAAATTCTAACGGGCTATTGATTTTTCGTTTTTTTTCTGTTTATATTTAAAATTTATAAATTATATTATATATTCAATTAATAAACTATATATGTATAATAAAAAAGTAAACTCAGTTAGACTAAATTTGATTTTTTTAATTATGTAAAATAATTTAAATATTCAATATTAAAGAATTTAAGGAAAAAGAAAAAGAAAACTAAACTAAACCTTCGTAAATGACAAACATAAAAGTGGAGATATATTGCTTTTTTGCTTTGGAACTTCATGATAAGTCGCTTCCTACTTTTTTTCAGCATCTGGAACTGAGATTCTTCTGCATTGCAATTGGACATGAAGAAGTGTGAGGTGGTACAAAACTTTTCAGTTAACTTTTTTAATTTTTATGTATTGAATAAAGAAATAGTTTTTTAAAATATTTAATTAATTAAAAACATAAGTTCAACTTATATAACTCAATTGTTTTTTATTTTTAATTCATATGCATCTTTACAAAAATATTTATATATATATATATATATATATATATAAACGTGTTAATAAGAAGCCTAAACGTTTCTCTCAGAAGTCTAGGGGGTGAAGTGTCATCCCGAAGGACGAGGGTCTCTGCATTTCGTCCTCTGACAGGGCAATTTCTTTATGCTTTTCAGCTTTAATTCATCAGCTTGATGTACGGTTGAATTGGATTGGGGAACACTCAATCATTTCCTCCATTTCCGCTCTTATAAAATACTTTGTGGACCATCTCCCTCCCCAGTCAATCGGAAAGGGAAAACACAAAATGGATAACAGTGACAGGAAATGCAACTACGAAGTAGCCAAAGTCGAAGCAGAGTCGCTTTCCGACAACCCACCACTCTCCACCTCATACAACGAGCGAATCCGCCCTTTGCTGGACGCAGTTGATCGCCTCCGTCTTCTCAAAGTCGCCCAAGAAGGCATTCAACTTCCAACTATCGTGGTAGTCGGCGATCAATCTTCCGGCAAGTCTAGCGTACTCGAATCCCTCGCCGGCATCGATCTCCCCCGCGGCCAAGGCATATGTACCAGGCAAGAGTAACCACTTGTGTTTTTTTGATCTGGTTCATGCAATTCGTTTTCATATTAAAACATTTCAAATTTTTGATTCAATTCACGGAAAAGAAAAAGAAAATAGTGTCAATAATTTTGTTTTTGTTTTTTTTCCTGGTTTTGGGTGGTTCTTATTGTCAGGGTCCCTCTCATTATGCGCCTTCACCACCACCCTAGTCCTCGCCCCCATCTTCGCCTTGAATATAATGGCAAATCTGTCGAAACCGACCATACCCACGTCGCCAATGCCATCAGATTCGCCACAAATGAGATAGCCGGCACCGAAAAGGGGATTTCGAACTCCCCGTTAACTCTGATGGTCGAGAAAATGGGGGTTCCAGATCTTACAATGGTGGATCTTCCCGGAATCACGAGGGTCCCTGTTCACGGTCAACCCCAAGACATATACGAGCAAATATCTGCCATTATAATGGAGTACATAAAGCCAGAGGAAAGCATAATACTCAACGTTCTCTCTGCTACTGTAGATTTTCCGACTTGCGAGTCCATCAGAATGTCTCAGAGCGTTGACAAAAGTGGAGAGAGGACTCTAGCTGTGGTTACCAAAGTGGATAAAGCTCCAGAAGGTAGACATGCATTTTCTGTTTGAACTTATTGTTAGATCCCGCAATCTCATACGTGATTTCGCTTTGATACTATTTATTAGTATCCGTGCTTTGACAGTATTTGTCGGAGCTAGAGCATAAAGAGTGGATACACAGTAAATTTAGAAAAAAAGTAAAATTCATGAACATCAACATTTTCGTAAAAGCATAAATTGGAAAAAATTATGAATGAAGAAGAAAAAAATATCATTAATATAGAAAAAAATTTTATATATGATTTTTGATTATTTTTATCAATTTAATATACTTACTCATACAATTTTTTCACTTTTATATCACCTCGTTGTATTATACTCAAATTTAAATTTAAATATTTATTTATAAAAAATTTTTATTTTTATATTACTCTTACTATAATAAATTTAGTCTCCAACTCTAATTTAAAATACTCACTCATAAAAATTTTTTATTTTTATATTACTTTTATTATAAGAAACTCATTCTCTACTCAAAATAATATAATAAAGTTACTTTTCGTGTAAAAGAATTTTTTTCTCCACTCTTTCGGACTTAAAAAACTCTCTCTGTAACTCACATTTTTCTCTGTGACTTCATGCGTGTGAAGGGGCCAAGCCTTCCTCTATTTATAGACGAGGAAGGCAGTTCACCGTCTATCATTTGTTAATAAACAAAAAGGCTAAGCCTTCCTCTATTTATAAGCGAGAAAGGCAGCTCACCGTCTTCATTTGTCAATAAAAGGAGCTCCTTTCGGTGCTCCTTTTTCAATAGTCAAGAAGGGCTTGTGAGTCAAGAATGACTTGCGGTTGCATGCGTAGCCGCAGGCCATTCACATTGTTTTTCTTTTGCATGTTTTAACATGGGGCTGGACCTCACACTTATCTCTATAATTTGAAATCTTTTTTAAATCTTACGCAGTTTTTACAAAAATAATTTGTATTTGTATTTTTGTAATGTGTATTGTTGTTCTCAACTCGAAGGTTTGCTTGAGAAGATTACTGCAGATGATGTTAACATCGGCCTGGGATATGTCTGTGTGAGGAACCGAATTGGTGAGGAATCTTACGAGGAGGCGAGAAGAGAAGAAACTAGTCTTTTTCAGACTCATCCTCTGCTTTCAAAAATTGACAAGTCCATGGTGGGCGTTCCGGTTCTTGCTCAGAGGCTGGTTCAAATACAAGCATCCATAATCTCAAAATGCTTGCCCGATATTATAAGAAAAATTAATGAGAAACTCAAAGAGAATGTTTTGGAGCTAAGCAAAATGCCCAAAAACATATCTTCTGTTGCTGAGGCAATGACTAAATTGATGGGGATTATTGGATTGTTTAAGGACTCTCTTAGAAAGATTTTGCTGAGAGCTGAATTTGATGAATACCCAGATGACAAAAATATGCATTGCACAGCTCGTTTAGCCGAGATGTTGGATAACTTTTCAAGGAAGCTTCAAAAGAGTGCGGAAAATAACTGCACGGATGGCTTTTTATTGGAAGAGATTAAGGTGCTGGAAGAAGTTAAAGGAATTTGGCTCTCTAACTTTTTGCCCCGCCAGGCTTTCGGATAATGCTGCAAAGGAAACTTAAAGAGATATCACATTTTCCCTTAGACTTCGCGGGGAAGTGTGGGATTACATTGAAACTGTAGTCGTGATTGTTTTGACACATCATTCAAAGGAATACCCACAACTTCAATTTTCCATGAGAAGAGCAGTGAAAAACCTTGTTGCGAAGATGAAGGAGAAAGCATTTGATCAAGTGACAGAGATGATTGACATGGAGAAGGTGACAGACTATACATGTAATCAAGAGTACATGGAGGTTTGGGTAAAACTTATGGCTTGTCAAAATGCATTTATGGCGGCCATGAACAATTACTCTATCTCGTCAAATTTGAAAATTGAGGGTCTCGGGACAGTGGAAGTTAAGCATTTGAGAAATTATCCTAGTAGTATCAGAGATCAGGCCTTTGATTTGAAGATGAGAATTTTTGCCTACTGGAAGATTGTCATTAAAAGGATTACAGATGCTGTGGCTATGAACTTGCTGCTAAGCATGGACAATCTGGTTAATCAAGAAATAGAGACGGTGATTGTGAACCAGATAATGGGTGGTGAAGGCAATGGAATCAAGCAGATGCTAGAAGAATCCCCATCAGTTGCAAGCAAGCGTGAGAGGCTGAACAAAAGTATTAAGTTGCTAAAGGAGTCAAAGGATATTGTGGATCACATAATGGATAGGGATATCCAATGGTGATTGCCTTTAATCTTAGTTGCAGGCTCAAACTTCGGGTGACATATGTTCTTGTGTTGTTTTTGTTTTCATCTTTTCCCCTGGGTACGTGATTTTTGAATTTTAACCTGGTGTTGGGCTGACTTTTCCAAAGAGAGTTTGATCCCTTTTTGTCTGCTTTTGTTCTAGAATGAAGTTGCTCACTGTGAAGAGGGGCATTGGCAATTGAGATTTTTGTATTGGGATGGGATTTTTCTGATTTCCTTTGGATGATTTTAAAACAACTGTTTCAAAAAATGGAAATAGAAAAGCATGTCTAATAATAAGTACTGTTTTGGAAAAAAAAAAATACACAAGTAAAGTTATATATTTTTGACATGCCTTCTCAGACTTGAAGTAACTCCATAATTCCTTGTTGGGGGTGTTCACTACCAAAATTTCACCCACTGCAGCCTCTTCTTGTATCTGGAGTATTTACTATTGATTTCCATTTTAGAATATTTCTAAAATTTACTAATAAATGTTTACTCACTAAATAATAAAATAAATTATGTTGCTATTCAGAAGCATATTTATAAATGGTTATAATAAAATATAGAACTTACAAGAAGACAAAAAATATCAATTATACAAATTGAGTAATGCTCCGCATCTAATTATCTTTTCTTCCTTTTCCTTTTCCTTTTTCTTTTCTTTTTTTAAAATGGCAAAACTTATTAAAGGTCTAGATCTTGCTTTTAACATCTAAGTTCTAAATCTTATGCATGGCTAGTTTACATATACGTACACAGTGAGAGGAGATTCCATCTTGTCATGAACAAGCTCTGGAGCATTTTATGGTGAATAATAATAAAGACAGAATTCTTTGATTAGTTAGAATTATTTACTGCGTTGCATGCCAAATAGAAACTGAACCACTGACTATTGCCATCTTTATGTTTTTACTGTTTATCGCTTCCACGCCCAATTCCAATGGATTAGTATGGAATATACCGGCTACGGTCACGACCATTGCTACCACCACGTCTTGTGCCAGTAGAGCTCCCTCCACTAGCTGTGGCATTCAGTTTGCCTGTACTTCTTGTTGCCAGGAGTATTAATGAAATAGATTTTATTTTGGATGAGATTTGAATTTGATATGATTATTTAAAATATTTAATTGACAAAATAATTTGATTATAAAAATTTATAATTTTAAATAAATAGAGTAAATATAAATTTTGATAAATTTGATTTATTAAATATTTGAATTTGAATATGAACATACATATATATATTATGTATAAATAATATTATATATTGTATATACGTATACATATAGATATATATATATATATACACACACAATATATATATATGTTATTTATATATAGACAATATATATGATAGATAATATGATATAATTTATATATATATATATATCATAATATAAACTTGATTTATCAAATTTTAATTAAAAAATTATTTTTTCTTAAAATTAAAATTAAAACATATTTTTATTTTTTACAAAACAAAAATAAAAATATGTATATTGATGAATTAACTATAATTATTATATGTTATCAATAAACCAATTTCAAAAGCAATATTTATAATGGATCAAATGTAATTTTAATATATTTCTAAACTCTAAAATTATTTATTAATTCATTTTTTAAGAATTTCTTATTTTAGTATTGAATTATTTTTTTTAAAATGTAAAATAATAAATGTATGATAATTTAACAACTTGAATTTGGATCTTCGTGTCGAATATCGCATTATTTGAATTCGAATATAGTAGTATTAAATACATATCATATAAGATTTTGAATTAGATTTAAATATGGTATATAATAATTAGATTCGGATTCGAATCTATTTTAATTTGGATTGAATTAGACCCGTTAACAATTCTACCCCTTATTGTTGCCTAACAGTAAATGATAAGTCAAAGTTTACACATTTAGATTAGAGATAATATGTGACAGCGAGAACTATAATGCTGAACTAATTCCAATGCAGAATATGACAATCTGAACAATTAGCTGCCAATCCCAACTAATAGGTGCAGTGGAAGATTGCCTATTCGGAATTTTTTTTTTTTTTTTTGGAAATAGAAATACACCTTCGGCAGGTTGATTTCAAAAACTGTTTCCAGCAGAATTATTAGAAATCAGAACCTTTGTGAAAAGCAAAAAAAGTGATCAAAATTTTTTCTTAAGTATTTTCGCATGAAAGTGATACAAAAAGAAATGAGTTTTACTGATTTTCAGTGTTTTCTGTTTTCAAAAACAAAGAATGCTAATTGGAAATAGAAAAAACATAAAATAGAATACAAATTGAAACAGATGATTCATTGTCTGTTTAGATTTGTTTTGAAAATAGTTTTCTGTTTCTTGAAACAGAAATCTCATTACACAAATTGTTTTCCAAAACTGTTTTTGGGAGAAATTTACAGAAAAATAATATTAGAAAATAATAATAAGTTGTTAAAGAATTCTCAAAAATTCTTTTTTCTCGAAAATGAAAACAATACGAGTTTCAAGATTTTCGGTGTTTGTCTGTTCTCCTGAAAATGAGAATATGAAACAGAAAACATAAAACAAATTTAAACAGACCTAAATTTCTAAAAATAATAGTTATATTCTGCAGTTCTCACTCGCGATCTCGAAGTTTTCCAGACCATAAAACGATCAATGAACATAAACTGCATTCAGAAACACCTTGAACTCTGAATAGTATAGCTTTGACTCAACTGGGAGGGTAAAGAACCAATCCACTTCCCATGAATCCTAGAATACTGAGACATAAGTGGAGACACGTGGATTAATCACCTCATATTTTACCTTTGTACATATAGTTTATCAGTAATTGAATTTTAATGACCTGTCTTAACTTTCTTGAAAGAACGAGCGTAGGCCTCTGCATATAGCAGTAAAGCAAGTTCACAATTTGGATACCATGAGCTTCACTCTAGAAAATTAAGCTCTTCCAAACGAGGGTAAGGCTGAGGAATGCACTATGCTAACCTTTTTTAACATTCTTAAAAGAAAAGATACATCAGAGTAATCTTGAGGATCTGTACAGAAGGTGGCAAATGAAAAAATAAAATAAAATAACATACAACCATACTCACAAGACATATCCAACCCTTCCATCTGGCCGAAGCATTGGCATCATTGCCATGCTAGAGTTGGCCCCCTACGTTACATTAGTGGCTGCAAAGCAGTGGCAATCATATTAGAAAGAGCAATTGAAGAAACAAAGCAAGAATCAATAAATTTCACAAGCAGAGGTGTTTAACATGTCGAACCAAATTATTTAAATTGGTGAAATTGTGGTTTTGTTTAGTTTGGAAAGTAATTTTTTTTATATAATTTTATTTAATATTTAATATTTAGATAAATTGTAAAAATATATTAAATAAATATATTTATTGTATAATATATAACTATTATACTTAATTAATAGATAATGAATTTATTGAGTTAAACAAGTTCAAAAAAATTAGATGTCTATTTTTTAAGAAAACTCGGTCAAAATTTTTATAAAATAATAAATTTAATTTATTTTATTATACAAATTACAAATTATAGGTTGAAACTGAATCAAACTATGAATTATAATTTAATTTTTAAAAATTACAAACCGTGAAATATAATTTAGTTTAAATTTAAATAATAAACTGAACCAAATCATGAACACCCTTATTCAGAAGGGTAAGACAAGCATCAGAATTTTGTGTTTCTTGAATACGCAATATAACTATTGATGAAGCATACACTCTGGCAACACGTAAATTAATGTGTTCATTTAAGCAATGTAGTCGTGAAAACATTATTACATGCATATTCATTTTGAAAGTCCACAAGTCAAAGGCAATTTGGCGACTTGGTTATGAGCTTGTAAGTTGCCAAATGTCCTGAGATATACTCACCCATCATTTTAAAGCATTTTATCTATAACAATATCGAGCTACTAATGTCATTTAAAATACTGCCGAGAAACCAAATAAATAGTGACAGCATGATTGGATTAAATGCAGGTTCTATATTACAGTAAAAATACCAGGCTTATGCAAGATTATGTCAACTATTGTGCCATAACAAAATTTGACAGACAGAAAGTGAATGCATCAAAGTGCTAGATAAGATGGGGTCCAGATATATAACAACAAATTCAATATTAAAATAATAAATAAACAAATTAAACAGGGAAATTAACGTGTCCATAGCCTTCACCATATCAGAACCTACAGCACCATAAACACCACCAACCAAACCACAACCAAGTCGAGGAGGGTGGCTTGGAAGTAGAGGCGACTTCTGTGAATTTGACCCTCCCGAAGACTTCTGATCAGCTTGTGGCTTTGCAAGAGAACGTTCCAAAACTTGACCTGTCCCAAAAAAAAAAAAAAAAAAAAGCACAAAAATAGATATCCAAGCACGAGATAATGCCTACATAGATTCCTGGACGAGGAACAGGTACCATCTACGCCCTACACCAGCAGATAAAAGTGATCCGCTACATAAACCCACGACACTATATCTGACTCTCCATAGCTTATTCATCAACAAAAAATGTAAAGAAACTCGATAAAATAAAATATTATTATTTTAATACGTCTAAGAGAGAGGTGTTTTTGGAGATAAAATTATGGGATTGTGTAGAGTGTTTTTTAAAGATATGTCTCCGGGATTGTGTTCTTTTTGTCTATTAATTTTGAGGGAAAAACATGATAATAGACATTATACGATTGGCTGATTTCTTTATTTATTTCTTCAATTTAATTGTGAATATATGAATTTTGTTAATTTCATTTTCTATGTTTTATATACAAACACAAATAAATATACATAAATTTATATATAAATAAATTCCACAAACACATACATATATACACTATGTGCACTCTGAATTTATAAATAGTGGTGAAAAATGAAATTAGTCAAAAGAATTTGTTCACTTATTTTCTTATCCATATTTCCTTTAATAATAAAATAATAAAAAAAAGTTAAACACGTTTTCTGGATTAAATTGGA